GTCATAGTATTTCCGCCTGATTCTCAGATTTTCGTGTGCTATACCCCATTCCATCTACATGGCTCCGGGCGACCAGGCCCGAATCGCCTAAAATTTGGCCGGCCCATCAAAAATGACCTAAGCAACATTAGTCATTGTTTCGCCATGACCATTCTTCCTTTTTTTGGGAGTGTTTTAAGGCCATAAATTTGGAATTCCACCCGATTCTCACATTTTCTTATGTTATAGCCCACGCCATCCAAATGGGTCTAGGTGCCCGTTCCCGAATCGCTTAAAATTTAGTCGGCCCGTCAAAAATGACCTGAGGAACATTAGTCATCACCTCGCCATAACCGTTCCCCGTGTTTTGGCACTTTAAAGCCATAAAATTAGAATTTCGCCCGACTTCCAGATTTTCGTGCGCTATAGCCCACGCCATCTGCATGGGTCTGGCGCCCTGGCCCGAATCGCCTAAAATTTAGCCTGCCCATCAAAATGACCTAAGAAACATTAGTCATCTCCTCGCCATTATCATTCCTTATTTTTTTTTTAATTTGGGCCATAAAACTAAAACTTCACCTAATTCCCATATTTTCGTGTACAATAACCCGCGCCATGTGCATGGTTTCAGGCGCTTGGGCCCGAATCGTCTAAAATTTAGACGGCCCTACAAAAATGACCTAAGGAACATTAGTCATCGCGTCACCATGACCATTCTTCGGTTGGTGTTTTAGGGCCATAAAATTAAAATTTCGCCCGATTCGTAGATTTTCAAGTGATATAGCCCACGCCATTTGCTACGGTCCCTGTGCCCCGGCCGAATCGCCTAAAATTTAGCCGTCCCATCAAAAACAACCTAAGGAATATTTGTCATCATGTCTCCATGATTGTTCCTTATTTTTTGGCATTTTACGGTAAAAAAATTAGAATTTCGCCGATTCCTAAATATAGTCCACGCCATCTGCATGGGTCTGGACGCCCAGGCCTGAATCAAAAATTTAGCCGGTTCGTCAAAAACGAACTAAGGAACATTATTCAATGCCTCGCCATGACTATTTCTTATTTTTTGGCGCTTTAGGGCCACAAAATTAGAATTTCGCCCGACTCCTAGTTTTTCGTGCGCTATAGCCCATGCCATCTGCATGGGCCCGGCGTCCTGGCCCGAATCGCCTAAAATTTAGCCGGCCTATCAAAAATGACCTAAGAAACATTAGTCATCGCCTCGACAAGATCGTTCCTGCATTTTTTGGTATTTTATGGCCATAAGACTGGAATTCTACCCAATTCCCATATTTTCGTTTGCAATAACCCACGCCATGTGCATGGGTTCCGGCGCCTGGGACCGAATCGCCTAAAATTTAGCCGGCCCCTCAAAATCAACCTAAGGAACATTAGTCATCGTCTCACCATGACCATCCTCATTTTTTGGTATTTTAGGAACATAAAACTAAAATTCCGCTCGATTCCTAGATTTTCGTGTGATCTAGTCCACGCCATCTACAACGGTCCGTGCCCCTGGGCCCATAATCGCCTAAAATTTAGCCTTCCCATCAAAAATGACCTACGAAACATTAGTTATTGCCTCGCCATGATAGCACATCGTTCTTTGGCATTATAGTTCCATAACTCTGGAATTCTGCCGGATTCCTAGATTTTCGTGTGCCATAACCTACGCCATCTGCATGGCTCCGGGCGCCCAAGCCCGATTAACTTAAACTTCAGCCGGCCCATCAAAAATGACCTAAGGAAAATTAGTCTTTGCCATACCATGACCATTCCTCGTTTTTTGACGTTTTGGGCCATAATACTAAACTTTCGTCTGATTCCCATTATTCGTGTGCTATAGCCCACGACATCTGCACGGGTCCAAGTGCCCGGGCCCAAATCTCCTAAACTTTAGCCGATCCATCAAAAATGACTTAAGGAACATTATTCATCGTCTCTCTGTTCCTCGTTTTTGGTGTTTGAGGCCCATAAAACTGGGATTTCGTCCCAACTCCCAGATTTTCGTGTGATATAGCCCACGCCATTTGCATGGTCCCAACGCCAGGGCCCCAATTGCCTAAAATGTAGCCGGCCTATCAAAAATGACCTAAGAAACATTAGCCATCGTCTTACCATGAACGTTCCTCAATTTTTGGCATTTTAGTGCCATAAAACTGGAATTTCACTCAATTCTCATATTTTGCGTGTGCAACAGCCCACACCATATGCATTGATTCGAGCGCCTGGGCCTAGATCGCCTAAAATTTAACCGGCCCATCAAAAACGACCTAAGAAATATTAGTCTTCGCCTTGCTATGAATATTCTTTATTTTTTGGCGTTTTAGGGCCATAAAACTGGAATTTCACTCAATTTCCATATTTTGCGTGGGCTATATGCATTGGTTCGGGCGCCTGGGCCGAGATCGCCTAAAATTTAACCGGCCCATCAAAAACGACCTAAAAACATTATGCATTGCCTTGCCATGACCATTCCTCATTTTTTGGCGTTTAGGGCCATAAAACTGGTATTCCGCTGGATTCCTGGATTTTTGTGTGTTATGACCCACGCCATCTGCATGGGCCCAGGCGTCCGGGCCCAATTCACTTAGAATTTATCCGTCCCATCAAAAACTGACCTAAGGAACATTAGTCATCGCCTCGCCGTGACCGTTCCTCGTTTTTTTAGCAATTTAGGGCGATAAAACCATAATTCCGCCTGGTTCCCACATTTTCGTGTGTTATAGCCCACGTCATTTGGATGGGTTCGGGCTCCTGGGCCAGTATCGCCTAAAATTTTGCTGGCCCATTGAAAATGACCTAAGGAACATTATTCATTACCTCGTCATGACCGTTCCTCTTTATTGGCGCTTTAGGGTTATAAAAAACTAGAATTCCGCTCGATTCCCAAATTTTCGTGTTCTATAGCCCATGCTATTTGCATGGGTCCGGGCGCCTGGGCCCGAATCGCCTAAACTATAGCCGGCCATCAAAAACGACCTAAGGAACATTATTCATCGCATCGCCAAGACCGTCCCTCATTTTTTGGCGTTTTAGGGCAATAAAACTGGAATTCCGCCCGATTCTCATATTTTAATGTGATTTAGCCCATAGTGATGTTTGAGAATCGTCCTGAATTCCCATTTTATGGCCCTAAAACGCCAAAAAATGAGGAATGGTCATGCTGAAGCAATGACTATTGTTCATTTGGTCATTTTTATAGGTCAACAAAATGTTAGGAGATTCGGGGTCGGTCCCCTGAATTCATGCTAATGACGTGAACAACAAACAAAAATCATGGAATCGTCCTGAATTCCTATTTTATGCCCTAAAACGTTAAAAACAAGGAACTGTCATGGCGAAGCAATGACTATTGTTCATTAGATCATTTTTGATAGGCCCACAAAATTTTAGTAGATGCGGGATCGGTCGCCCATACAGATAACGTCCTATAGCACATGAAAATCTGGGAATAGTCCTAAATTCTTGTTTTATGGCACTAAAACGTCAAAAAAGGAGAAGCAATCATGTACTACTAAAAATCAGGTTTTAGCGACGGACAAATTATATAGCTAAACAGAAAAATTCGTCGCTAATCTCATTTTGCGACGAATTAGCAACGGATTATCAAGAAATTCTGCTAGTTACAAGCGTTTTAGCGATAGATCAGCGACGAAGTTCGTAGCTAATTCCAGTTTTTTTTATAGTGATGGCGAAGCAATGACTATTGTTCATTAGATCGTTTCTGAGGGCCCGCAAAAGTTTAGGAGATTTTGGGCCGGTTGCTCGAATTCATGTAGATGGCGTGGACAATAGCATACGAAAATCTGAGAATCATCCTGAATTCCTATTTTATGGCCCAAAAATGCCAAATGCGAGGAACGGTCGTGGCGAATCGATGACTATTATTCATTAGGTCATTTTTTATGGGCTCGAATAATTTTAGGATATTCGGTTCCGGTCCCCGGATTTCATATAGATGGCGTGGACTATAGCACACGAAAATCTGGAATCGTCCTAAATTTCAGTTTTATGGCCCTAAAACGCAAAAAAAAAAAATGAGGAACGGTCATGGCGAAGCAGTGAAAATTGTTCATCAGATTATTTTTTATAGGAACACAAAATTTAAGGAGATTCGGGGCCGCCCGCCCGAATTCATGCTGATGGCGTGGACCATAGCACAAAAAAATCCGGGAATCGTCCTGAATTCCTATTTTGTGGCCGTAAAACGCAGAAAAATGAGGAACGGTGGAGAAGCGATGACTACTGTTCATTAGGTCATTTTTATGGGCTCGCAAAAAATTTGGAGATTCAGGGTCGGTCCCTCGAATTCATGCAGCTGACGTGGACTATAGCACATGAAAATCCGGGAGTCGTCCCGAATTCTGATTATTGGCTCTAAAACGCCAAAAAATGATAAACCGTCATGGTGAAGCGATGACTATTTTTCATCAGATCATTTTTGATAGACCCACAAAATTTTAGGAGTTTCGGGGCCAGCCGCCCGAATTAATGCAGATGGCGTACACTATAGCACAAAAAATTGTGAATCGTCCTGAATTCCTTTTTATGGCCCTAAAACGCTAAAAACGAGAAACGGTCATGCAAAGAATGACTATTGTTCATTATGTTATTTTTCATGGGGCCGCATAATTTATTAAGAAACAATAAAAAATTTAACTATAGATTTACAAACGAAAATATTTTTTAATGGCGTTCAATTAGGATGGCGATGATCATATAAGCTCTCACTGATCATTGTGTACTTGCAATAATATGACATGTGCCTACACATAAGCTTGCTTAGCAAGGTGCATTTATACACATTTATATGCCAAGCACAAATATATGTGGGGTCTGGGAAGGGTAATGTGTTCGCGACCTTACCCCTACCTGGAGAGATAGAGAGGTTGTTTCCGATAGACCCTCGACTCAAGAACGTGTGGAGAGGAAGAGAAGGGAGAAGAAGAAGAAATAGGGGGAGGAAAGAAACAAGAAGGAGACAAAGGACAATAAGACAAAGGGAGAAAAGAGTAGCATCATGCCAAGCACAAATATAAAATTCATAAAAACCGCGGGGGACTTCTATGAAGGAAAAGAAAAAAAAAAGAGGGGGTAAATTGCGGTTTGCCCAGGAGCTGAAAGGGTTAAATGAGGTCATAGTGTAGGAAACTTGAACAGAACCAAATTGGCAGTGACGAGAAACCTAACACCAAAAAATTTCATTGGCACAACAGAATCAATACTTAATTCAAAATGGCTAAAAGAGTACAGACAACTTTCAGCAGTAACAGAGATGCTGGCCATGTTTACATTGATCTTCCTGATTGCAGATGCCTAACAAAACTGCAAAGATTAAGGCTGTTGTGCGGCTGCTGCTGCTGACTGAGGCGGCTGCAGATGTGCGGATTGCTGACCGCCAGGTGGTGGGGGTGCTGTAGCTTGATAAGGTTGAGGAGGATACTGTTGATAAGGTGGAGGAGGTGGTGGCATATACCCATAGGGTGGATAATAAGGCGGGTAAAATTGACCTTGAGGTGGTAGCCCATGTGGATATGCATGACGTTGTCCTTGTTGATTCTCAGAACCACTCTTATTTTCACCAGGACCTGACCCCGTAGCTGAACTAGAAGCCCCCTCCTGGGATTGAACTAGGGCACCCATCCTTTGTGGATCCATTGATGGATAATATGGTCTGTCTTGCTGAGGCATCGGGGGTATATTGAAGTAAGGCATGGATGGGGGTTGGTCCTGAGTTCCTGGTGGCTGAAAAGGCTGATTCTGCTGCTGTGATATGACTGCCCTAGGCAGCAATCCACTGTGAGTCACAGCTGCCTGCTGCCTTGCTTCATCAGGGACCTCGGACTCTGGCTTGGGTGCTTGAGGTCTCCCCCAGAGTAGCTTCAGTCTCAGGCCCTTTATCACCAGCTTGTTTGCTAGTTCCTCAGCTGCCTTCTCTGCACCTTCTCTGGTTGTGTAAGTTACGAAAGCACAACCACGCTGGACCACCATTTTGATGGACTCAATTTCACCATGTGCATAAAAGTGGTCCCTAAGGTCCTGTTCGGTGATTCTTGCATCAACACCACCCACATAGAGGGTTCTAATGCTCTCGTCGTCAGGGGCCTCCAATGAAGGCATTTCACCTGCTTTATTCAGTAGCTTTAAAGCCACTGGATCATTGACTCTGCAAGCATTACAGCACAGTAGAAACTTATCAGTTGAAAACAATATGAGCCAAAGAACATTCAGCAAGATAGTAATACAAATCATTTTTTCACTTTAAGTTGGAGAACAATGTAGGACAAAATAGATCTTTGTAGAAGAGGACAAAATATATGTAGCAGACATTTTATAGTCACTACAAACCACAAATCACAGTGTCACAAATACATGGATTCTTCCATACAACCAACACAACAAAGATAAGCAAAAGAAAAGTGACCAGCAAATTGATGCCATCAGTAAACAGCCTAGTCATCATGTAACCATGGAGAGACAAGGTAAGGTGTGTTTCGAAAGTGCATAGAGTATTTCACTGATTGCTTATGTGACAATGGTATTTTTCTATATTTACGCATCTAACTTAGTTATGTTGATAACCACGGAGTTGACTGGGTTGTAACAAGGATCCTTGCTAATTCAATAATCCTCCAGTTTTTGGTCAAACCTTAACCAAATATTGAAACGCATGAAAAAGCATTCACCCAAAATTTTCTTCTTAGACTTCCGCTGGTTGTATGATGCAAGGATTTGAACAGGCATAGTAACTAAAGATAATTAAGGAAGGCATAACCAATATACAAGCGGAAGGGACTAAGAAACCAGAAAGGAATAAGCCACTGAAAAAGTTAGGAATAAACTGCCAGCAGTAGAAAAGCAATTACAACACATCAGCATTTTTTAGCTGTAAAAACTATGAAAAAGCTATACAGTATATTGACAGCAGGACTTAAATGTCAGATTTGAGGTATTTACATGTTCACATATGATATTGTTTTTTTTATTTCAACGAGGTTAAAAGAGCGACTCAAGACAAGCTATTTGCCTCCTGACTTGACCAAGTCCAAGTTACTGTCTTCACATATTGAGATATATTTCACTTGAGTTGATTTGCTTCTCCTTCATTCCTTCTTACATGATAAAAAGAGGAGGCCTAAGCTCCAGGTTATTACCTATTTTTCTCCCACTTGTATGAGGGTGCTATTTTATATAATATCTGGTGGTCATGCATACAACACTGTCCGTCATCCTATATTAGCATTGCAGCTAAGGAAAACAGATAGCGTATTACAGTGACAAGTTAGCCTCCGTGGACTTATCAACAGAAAAGTGAACCACCCTTCTCTCACCCAACCACTAAATTTAAGATCCAACACCCTATCAGAAACATGTCAACACAGATATGTGAGCATCAATGGAAAGAGGAGAATTTCACATCAGCAATAAAGAAATAGGTTCGACATACCCATAGTAACGGTCTTTAATATTTTGCTGTGACAACTCTCCTGTCTCAGGCATCTCATGCCTGTAAGGACACTCCAGACCTCTTGTACATTGACCACGTATATAGAAACTGCAAACATGTGCCCGATTTCTCTTGTAGTATGGACTTGTTCTTTGAAGCTTCATGATAGTGTCATTTGGACGGACTTTCCCAAATGAAGATTCATAATCAATACCAGCTCTTGCCTGGTCAAAAATTAAACTATGACTTCGGGGAAAACCAAAATGTAAAAAGAAAAGCATCACAAACATCAGCTTTTTTGTCAACGTGCTTCTTTTAAGTTTTATAAACCCTTGGTTTCACCAGGTTTAATCTCTTCCTCCTAATCTCAAAAGTACGCCATCCCTAAGTTATTCCCTGCAAGATCTGGGGGAAGGGGGGAGAGTGACAAGACCAATAATAAAGACAGCTTCCAAAATTGTCAAAACTTAAGCTTAAAATAATTTAAGCTCAAAATTTGGACACTTATCAATCAAGTGTTGTTGTCCATTTGCAGTATCAACGTCTCGCCTTTTTTGGGAGGGGGTGGGGTGGGAAGACACTCAAAAGTATTACTGGTAAGTATATGTCCTCTTTAAGAAAGTAAATTCAGTTTTGAAAAACAAAAACAAAAGAGAGGGGCTAACACTTCAGCGAAATCATTCTATGTACTTATTTATATGAATAAATTAAAATGACATGCAAGTAATGAGTTAAAAAGCACGTCATAACAATAAATTGTGCTCCCACTTAGTAATTCACATACCCTGCGGTCGTGTTCCTCTGCAAAATATTCTCTATTTACGTCACTCTTCGGGATGGCATCATTCGAGTTGATACTGAGAGCAGTGTCTCGGACCTGAACTGGCAAACCATATTCAAGATCCAATAGGCAAACTTGACAAACATTCTTTAATTTGCTGCAGGTCTGACAGATCTCAGTCTTTTTGTATCTTGCATCCCGACCAGGCCTCCACCTAAACACTGTGAAGGGTCGCGTGCAGATCTTGCACTCCTTGTCATAATCTGCTTTTGTCTGTACAAAATCCATAACAAGATCAAAAGTCAGATAGTGAAGTTGGAGAAAGAAAGATTAAAGTAGAGAACGTGCAGCTGAAACAAAGTCAAACATCAGACTGATCCTACTGCCAAACTAGAGATAATCTTGAAAGGAATTAATCCTTACAACTATATGAAGAGAGTCAATATCGTAACAATGTGCCGAAAAGCTATGTTCCGCGGACTCTCTAAAATGTTACCGCACCCGTGTCGGATCCTCCAAAAATACACTATTTTTGGAGGATCCGACATGCACCCGGCAACATTTTCGGAGAGTCCGAGCAACATAGCCGAAAAGTAGCAGTGAATCAGGACAAGCTATAAATAGACAAAGGTCCAAGATAGAGCTCTTTCAGACTGCCACAACGATTCGAATGGAAGTGCCCCCACCTAACTATGTGTAAATGGAATTTAAAATACAGTTTGCTGAAGCTTGCACAAAACCAAGCAATTAAATAACTGCGAACTGAAATTAACAGTTCTTACCAATTCACACTTCACCAAGGAATTTGGAGAAAAAATTAAGCTGTGGTACCTCCATCGAAGGATCCAACCACATCCCCACATATTTCACATTCTTAAGGAAGAAATACATGTTACATATAACTTAATCCCATACGATTTCGAAATGGGGCTGCGACCTTTCATCAAGATTGATGACAGATTTACCCTTTTAAAATTGAATAAAGATATCCTTCTTAACTTACTTTTGCACAATGGAACACAAATTTTCCACGGTTATTAGTTATTCCTACTGTATTAATAAAATTGGGGTATGCAAAATAAATAATTTCTTCGGAATTCTTAAAAATTTACCCAAGAATTTCTGAAAATGAACTTTCAGATGTATTCAAAAGTAACAATACTATATTCACCTAGAACCATAACAATCAACCAATCATTCAACTATGCCTCAATCCCAAACTTTGTTGTTGGTTATATGAATCCTCAATATCCATCTGTTCTAGCCTCTTCGCACCTATAATCACCTAAAACTATGGCCAGAATTTTCGCAACTTCTTTGCCGAATACGGTTTTCTACACTTCACATCAGTAGCAGATTGGAGCAGTGCAAATATGAAACTTTCCTCTAGTAATTTCTTAATGGATTTAAGTTATTTAAACTGTCAATGGAATTTATTTATTTTTTATGACGGTGGTGTCTGAGCCAGTTTCGGCACACCTCGACTACTCCACTGGGTACCTGCAGGTACCCAGTAACTCAGCCCACCACGGCTTAGGTAGATGGGAACAAATCACTCAGTGTTGTTTGCCTCCGCTGGGATTTGAACATAAGACCTCATGGTTCTCTTCTCACTTCATTGATGATTGACCACTAGGTCACACCCTTGGGTGCTATCATCAACGAATTTCAATCTGTTGTACAAGGTTAGTTACCATTTTTACTAGGTTACTGATTACTAAATGTTTAATTAGGACCAGATTCTGTAAACATTTCTGACACCCACTGGGGCGTAGAACTTAAACTCTTTTTCGATTAGCAGCCAAGCAACCAAAGGCACTAATAATCATAACACTGCAATTCTGCTTCAAAATTCACAATGACGAGAAAATAATAAACCCTAATATCATTCACGAGCTCTATAACAACAAAAATTGAGCCAAAAAATTACCATCCGCACGTAAGGACTGTCGCCAAGACACGACTCGCATATAATAGGGAAATCAGATCGTTCCCATCCATCAGCTTCTGCATCTCTCAGCAACCTATGCGCCATCGATTATTTCTATATTTCAATCTTCCAAAAGAATAAGTATGAGAAAGCTCATTCCAAACGTTTTAATACAGATTTAAGTTGAAACAAAGTCTAAAGAAACAGGAATCTGAAAAGGCTTCAAAATTAATAGTACCTGATAATGGCAATTTAGGCTAGTGAAATTTAGTTAGAGACGGCGGAATCCTCGGTGGTCGGCGGCGGTGGAGAGAAGAAGCTTCCGATGAACGAGAACGAAGCAAATAGCCCTGCTTCAGCGGGAACAATAGAGAGATAAGAAGAATGGATTTCCGCTATCAATATTTGAATATATTCCCCCACAATTTTAGTAAAATTATCAAATTACCCCAACTTCAAACTAAATATTTACCCTGTTTACATCAAACAAATTAAAATTTAATCAAAATCAAGTGATAAATATGTGTAGGATATTTATTAATTTGGTGTAAACATGAAATGCAAATAATTTTCTCGAAGTTGACTGTTGACATTTTCCTATTGCTTCCTATATTTTGTTCATCCACTTATGTGGTGTGGTACACATTTCCTTTTAGTTTGTTTTAAAAGGATAATCACACTTTTATATTTAAAAATTATTTAACAATGCAATTCTCATTTTAGCCTTAGTTACATGACTCAAGAATCCACACTTGAAGTGCAGCCTTGGCGTAACTAATAAAGTTGTTGTTATGTGACCAGGAGGTCATGGGCTCGAGCCATGAAAACAATCTCTTGCAGAAATATAAGGTAAGGCTGCGTACAATAGATCCTTGCCGTCCGGCCTTTCCCAAGACCTCGCGCATAGCGGGAGCTTAGTGCACCGGACTGCCCTTTTTTAAGAAAGAAACATAGAAAAACACACATGAAATTCTCATCATCAATTATTTGATTGTTTGTAGTAGGAGCAATTGTCCTACTTTGCATATATTTAGTATCACCATCTAAGTACTTTAAGGGGTCAATTTGTGTGATGGATAAGCAAAAATAATTCTGAAATAAAATTTAGTATCGCCTTATCTCTTGTTTGGTTACTAATCGTTGCATAAGTTATCTCAGGATTAAAAATAGCGTAATGGCTTCCTGGCCACTTAGACTTGTAGGGCTTTTGAAAGCTGATACATAAACTTTGGATTTTCCCATTGGAACACTCGAACTCATGATTCACTTAACTAATATACACATTTGACCGTTGACCATGACCATGTGACAGTGACAAATTTGATGTGGACAAAATGCATGTCAGTCACGCAGAAAATGTGCGTGAATGCAATAATCTGATTAAAGAAAATACTTTATTAATAGGAAAAAAAATTAAAAAATGAAAAAGAAAAGGAAATTACATCCAGGTGCTGAAACTACATCCACGGCTGTAACAAAAATGGCGGGGCAATGGTGAGTTAGAACAGAATGTATCCATGAGGGGTTTCACGGAGAAATAACCGGCGTTATGTTTTAGAAGACTTGGTGAGGCGTCTATTTTTCCGAGCCGCCTGAACTTTTAAAGCACGGTGCTGCAAGTTGATGCCGTCCGATTAGATATCATCACCGGAATTTCCTCTGAGAGTTGCATTGGAAGTGATGGAGTTTGATTTTTGTAGCTCTCGCATCCAAGGTCCATCATATTACCAAGTAAATTGGGAAATTGGTGCCTTTTGTCCTCAAATATGAGATTTTCGAAGCTCTCTAGAACCATAAATTCCTATTGATTTTTTCTGGAATTCCCATAGTGGTGTTGTGAATTTGATTTAGAAATAAGAGAGAGAAAGAATACTGAAGAAAAAGAGAAAGAAGAAGTATAAAAATAAGGAAAGGATGGAAGTGGGTGTGTACGGAGAAGAAGGGAGAGGTGGGTGAACGGAGTAATAGCTTCAGGTCTTTTTCTGTCACGACCCAAGTTCTCTCTCTGTGACCGGTCGTGACGGCACCAAGTCTCTACGACTAGGTAAGCCTAACAATTTGCGGAAAATGAAATAAAGATACGAAACTAACAATTAACAGGTAATATAATAAAGGAGTTTAAAATGCCGCTTGGCATATACAATAATAACACTCTCGAACTGAACATAACACTCCCAAAACCCGGAATCTCATGAATCACAAGCTAAAGAAGTACATGATGTTTCTAACTCCAGAAGTCTAAAAACAGAAAAATACAAGAAGTCTATAACTGAAGGGAGGCAGAGAGGGAATACTAGGTCTGCGGACGCGGCAGATATACCTCGAAGTCTCTGGATCGTCTCGCCTCACTGGAAGTATGGCTGAGAAGAAGAACCTGGATCTGCACACGAAAAACATGTGCAGGAAAGGGCATGAGTACACCACAGCGGTACCCAGTAAGTACCAAGCCTAACATCGATCGAGTAGTGACGAGATCAGGTCAGGGCCTTACTAGTTATATACATAACAAGATAAAACAGTACGAAATATGGCAGTGAAGATAATTGCTAACAGTCAATGAAATGAAAGCACAGGAAAAATCATAACTCAGTACACAGAAAAAGCAACAGGGGATCTCCCAAGATACCATCCCGTAGTCCCAAACGTAAATGTACAGAGGATCTCCCAGATACCGTCCCATAGTCCAAATCGTAAATGTGCAGGGGGATCTCCCGGGATACCGTCCCGTAGTCCCAAATATAAATGTGCAGGGGGATCTCCCGAAATACTGTTCCGTAGTCCCAAGTAAACATGCAAGGGGATCTCCCGGAATACCGTTCTGTAGTCCCAAAATAGATACACAACCAAATCAATATACACAACAATCTCAATCAGAAAGTCTATAGTTCTATTCAAGTTCGTATCAAAGAAATAGGTAATTCCTACCCTAAACATGCTACACAGAGTCTAGGTAGGAAGTTAAGCAGATAAGACAGTTAAGGCACGTAAGCATGCTTTCCTACGCTAAACTGGAGGCTACATATACTAGTATTGCTCAATTTAAAGGAAAACATAGACAGTTACTTAATGAAAATGGGATTTTTCAACAATTAGCACGTGTACGCACGTGTCACCTCACGTACACGGCATTCATACAACAACGGTACCAAAATCCTAAGGGGAGTTTCCCCACACAAGGTTAGGCAAGCCACTAACCTCGAACCAAGCTCAAAATCAATCTGATATCACGCTCTTGCCACGAGTATCCAATTCCGAGTGGCCCAAATCTAATCAAATCAATTACATAACGTAAATATAGCTACAAGCAACGAATTTAGCTAATAAATTTAAAGTTACGGCGAGAAAATAAAAAAATGCCCAAAAATCCTCCCCGGGCCCATGTCGGAATCGGGTAAAAATCACAAATTATGAACACCCATTCACTCACGAGTTCACTCGTACAAAAATCATCGCAATCCGACGTCAAATTCCTATTCAAAACTCAGTTTTTCCATTGGGGAACTTTTTCTCCCATTTCCGAACTTCCACCCTCAAATTCTTTAATTAGATGAGGAAAACAGCAATAGATTAATGTATTAGAACCAAATTAGAGTTAGAATTCGTTACCCAATAGTTCTTCAAAATCTCTCAAGAAATCGCCTCCCACCGAGCTCTAAAAGTTCCAAAATTGAAAATGGGATAAAACCCTCGACTTGGCCCTTTTTCTGCCAGAGATCCCGCTTTTGCGAGAAGGCCACCGCATCTGCGGTCCTGCACCTGCGGAAAAATCATCACAGGTGCGGAAATCACTTATCCGGGCTGGGGCCGCATCTGCGGTTCCTGATGCCCAAGTCCATTTTTGCTTCCGCGGTCCACTCAGCCGCTTCTGCGGCACCGCACCTGCGGTCCCTCATCCGCAGGTGCGATTATATCAGGTTCAGCAACTTCAGAAATTTGTCTAAGTCCAAATCAAGCCCGTTAAGCATCCGAAACTCACCCGAGGCCCCCGGGACCTCAACCAAACATACCGACGAATCCTAAAACATCATACGAACTTAGTCGAGCCCTCAAATCACATCAAAAAACGTTAAAACCACGAATCACCCTCCAATCGAAACCTAATGAACTTGAAATCTCAAAATTCTACAACCGATGCCGAAACCAACCAAACCACATCCGATTGACCCCAAATTTTGCACACAAGTCATATTCAACACTACGGACCTACTCCAACTTCCGGAATCGGATTCCGACCCCGATATCAAAAATTCCACTATCGGCCCGAAACTTCAAAAATTCAACTTTCGCCATTTCAAGCCTAAATAAGCTACGGACTTCCAAAACACAATCCGGACACGCCCCTAAGCCCGAAATCACCCAAAGGAGTTAACGGAATTGACAGAGTTCCATTTCGGGGCCGTCTTCACACAGCTCCGACTACGGTCCAAATTCTAAGACTTAAACTCTCATTTAGGGACCAAGTGTCCCAAAACACTCCGAAACTCAAAATGAACCATCCCAGCAAATCACAATAGCAGAAATAGACACAGGGGAAGCATTTAATAGGGGATCAGGGCATAAATTCTCAAAACGACCGGCCGGGTCGTTACATTTTATCTCTTTCTTTTTCTTTTTTTAATTTGTAACTTCTTTTTTGCTTATTTAGTATTTAGAAATAGGACCCACAAATAACACATGTCAAGTAATAAATAGTCTAGTATATGACGTGTTGTACATGTCAGCGCAATTGATATACACGCACTACTAGATGTATTTATTAGTACTCATTCTGTCAAGTTCGAGTGTTCAAATGGAAAAATTCAAAGTTCATGTATCGGCTTTCAAAAGCCCTACAAGTCTAAGTGGCCAGGAAGCCATTACGTATCATGATAACTTATACCTGCCAAAGGCTAGAATAGTAATCCTAAGATAAGTTATCCCAAGATAAAGCAGTAAAATTGACAATCCCAGGATTAATACAACATACCAAACAATCAATAAGAAATAATATCAGGATAACTAATCACAGCGTAACTTGTCCAAACCGAACGACCCCTAAAGGCCATAAAAGGACATGAAGTTTGAGGCACTTGAGATGCAAAATAAAGGGAGGAAGGTGCCTACAAATTAAGCTGAAGATCTCGACCTAAGCTGCTATTACCAGGGATGTATGAGAGAGAACATTTGAAAAAGAAATCCGACAAGAGGCACATTATTTCATCCCAAACTGATTTTTATGGAACTATAGAGCTTTCTAGTGAAGCTGAACTACCAACATAACTGTGCTCAAGCAGCAGCAGCACCTGGTCCATTGCTCTTAGCTCTGCCTTTGCGGTCCCATATTGGAGTAGTCTCAATGAGCTTATGAGGAACTAGACGCCTTTCGCGTTTGGTCATCTTCTTGAAATTGTGTACTCTCAACTTAGCTATCTCGGCCTCCTCCTCAGGAGTTATCTCCCTAACTACAATGGTCAGTCTACATTCTGGCCTCACTTTTATTCCACACTTTCCTTTAGCATGGTAGGACACCCTTTTTTTGAAAAGTCCTTTCCCAACAAAAGCCTCAGCTGCACCAAATATGAAAAGAATGAATCAGTCCAACATTAGAAGTAAGAGGAGAGCATAGACCGTCAGTTTGCCTTTTTTACCAACAAGAAGACGATCTGGATCAAATCCATAATTGTGGGTTGCATTTGCCCGAGCTGAATGTATAACCTACAAAAAATGAAAGGTTCCTATTACATCACACCTGAACTGTAAATAATCTTTTGACTTCAGGAGCCATGTTTGGCAATAGTCCTACAACTTTAAGGTTGGTCTAATGTGGTGTTTGGGAGTCGCACTACAATGGAGGTTACTATGCAACACAGAATTCTTTATCGCAGTATAAATCTGGTAGCCACATTAGAGAATGCTCTTAATAAAGAAGGAAACGTTAAGGCCGAGACTAAATTTTGAATTAGAGCCTGCTTATAAACTATAGTTGCATGATTCATAAAGGAAACAATTTCCTTTCCTTTGATCTTTTTTCGTGCAACTACAAGACGCTTGTCAGAAGTCTCACCTGATAGACAGTTTTGGAAGCTCGTTTTACAGTCACTTGCAACTGCAGTAATGCATCTTCAACACGCATCCCACGAACTAATGCTGCAACCAAATTGATCTTCTTTGGGCTCTGAAAGGGACATGTATCATAGAAATCAAAGGAGGGCATGGTAAGATTCCTCACTCTTTTTTTGGGTAGGAAAGAGATTTTTGACAGAACGAAGGAGTAAAAGAAAAAGAATCGAAACTCGTCAAGTAAAAAAGAAACAAAAAAGGAGATTAAGCAATACTTTAAAAATGGGGATCGATGAAACAATCAGGTCCCAACAATTTTGTTGGAGCAAAGTATTCTTTCACTAAGTTATAAATTGCATCAGAACAATACCTAAGACAGGCCCCAATTGTCACATGCATTCCAATGGGACAAAAGTCTGCTTACACAAACAGCATGAAACAAAATATATATGTATTCATATAAAGTCTCTATTTTTCAATATTACCTCATATTTGCATTTTTAATCACACTGTCCTCCCCAGTACCAAAAATATTGAATCAAGAACCAGTCAGAACAAGTGCTAAGACATTCTAAAATCCTAACATTCTCCTTTGTTCTCATATACTGCAGGATATAAAGTAGTATTCCCTGTCATGTTGCTAAATCAGCAGGCTTTGCCTCCTAATTTACATAAAAGCTTGAGCAATATTCTAAAAGACTTTATCAAGTACCAGTCTAAAACATAGAGGTCGGCAGATTTAATATGTAATCAAGTAACTGGGAGATTACTTTCCAAAAAGAAAAGGAAGTTTACCAGGAGATTAGTTAATAAGAATGACAAGACTCTCTGTAACCACATTTACTCACCATATCGTAACTCATCATGTAAATTCTGCTAATGTGTGAGGTAAATTAGATATTCACCATATCTAAAAGGCTGTGACATTTCATACCTGTTTTATCCCCTTCAAAACTGCTTGAACTGTTGAAGGTTTAGAAGTTGCTTTCTCAGCTTCTTTATTTCCAGTATTTGATGTTAGAAGCGGTGTTAATGGGGAAGAAATTGGTGTGGTTGAGTCTGCAAGTAAGGTCCTTGAACTAGAGAGCCCCTAATCAGGAAAAAAAATAGGAAAAGAAGAGAAAAAAGCAACATTTAGAACTATGAAACAGTTTAACTAATTTGAATTTTATTTAATAGGAAAAATGTTCTACAAATACAGCATGCAGAGAAGCAGTGATTGTAATCGAAGATAACAAAGAGTCACAAACTGTAGCCATCTAAACTTGCATATTTGATGTGAAGGATAGCTGTCAAACTGGCTACACATTCTCGGAAATGGCTTTTGTAAATATGAGAAAACCTAAAAAAATGATGAAACGGTGATTTTAATTCCTAATAGAAAACCTGTAATATAAGTATCGTCATGTATATTACAGGAATTTTATGTACAGATGGGTTTATAAATATACCAATTGGGAAATAGTTGATTGCACGACCATAAAGGATTAGAAAACGAGTTTATATTGAACTAAAACATGATATATAAATAGACATAACCTGTGAAGGTGCTATATTTTAAATAAACAGGCTCACTCAGTTACTGCTTAGGCAAGCACCTGTAACACTACAAATAGAATGTTTTGTAAAATAGATAGTATGCAATATGATATGTTGTTTCGACTATGAGAAATCAAAACAACAAAAGTTTATTAAAGAAAAACAAAAAATGGTGGGATAAAGATTCACGGCCACAATGCCACCTCAATTCACTATACAAGGCCACATACGTATATGAAATAAATGATATTGTAACATTACCAAATGCTGTAGATACTGGTATAACGGCCTTGAGATGCCAGATGAAACCGTATTCCGCAAGCTTGGTAAGTAAGGTGCCTCACCTAGAAATTACATGTTGCTCAACCATCAAAAGTTGATATATGACTTGAGAAATAAAAAAGGAAAAGCAACTGAAGGAAGACAGTGAACACAACCCTGAACCCTAACTTGGCGTGCTTCTATTGACAGGTCGCATTAACTATTCACTGTGAGATGTCAGCAAAATCAATTCATCAAGCGTAAACAGAAAAACAACCATTACCAAGCACTAGAGATGACTTTGAGTGATAATATGAATTTAAAGGAACAGTTCGACTTTGTTGACATCTCTTCCCAGCTTGATGAAGCATGCACTGAAGATGCCGTTGCCAGCCCACCATTTTTTCAGCTTACAAAAGGTCTCTCAATCAACAAGTCCAGCTACACTATATCAGTTCATCGATGAAGAGAAAAGCACAATAAATTTCACACTAGTACGATGAGATAATGAACCACACTATGCACATAGCAGGACAATGTTCAGTCAAAAAACATCAGATCATTCAAATTAAATGCACAATCTGGAATCAATTCCCTTGTTAATAGGAGCTATTATTTCTTTAGCCTTCATTGGTCTCTATAGAACAGAAAGATATGAACCAACTGAAGTAACAAAAAAATAGCACTTCATCAATGAGTTTTGAGTAATCACATATGTTTGTTTGGAAGGACTTTTCACCAAGCACATGTTCTGCAATTTAAACATGTTTACTAAAAGTTAGAGTTAGCTTACACTTAAGAATAATTTAAATTCAGAGTCGAACATAACAATTGGTGAAAGATTTCTATATAGGCAAAGTTATAATTTCACTTTCTTTTTATAAGCACTTCACTAAATAATCTAACTTAGGATGAAGGGGAAACAAGAGAAACATTTCAGATTGCAGCACTATAGAACTACTTTTACACGCAGCACTCATTTATCTGGAAAATTGGGACCAGCTATATAGCAACAACAACAACAAAAAAAAAACCATTGTAATCCCATAAATGGGGTCTTGGGGGTAGTTGCACGCAGACCTTACACCTACCTTATAAAGATAGAGAGGTTGTTTCGAATAGACCCTCGGCTCAATTGGGACCAGCTATGCTTAGTGGAATTCAGTTCTCACGTAAATGAGAAATTTTCTATTCAGCTGCTATTATATGAGAAATAAAGCAAATTAAAATTCCTTCTTATCCTCTCCTAACATTTCTTCTCTTCCAAAGCCTTATAAACCTAACACCCTCAAAAAATTTAAGAGCAACGCCTTTTGAATGCAACTGATTTCTGTATATGCAAATGTGAGCAACAATATATTTCTCAAGTGCAAAATTAGCTCAAATAAAATCACATGACTAACTAATAGTAGTACACACACGTTTTCAAGCTCAAATTGTGACTTTAACATTGAATAAACCCCACAAGATCTAATAGGCATTTTATCAAACAGGTCATACAATAGAAACTCAACTATAATACCACCTCAGTTACCACTCAAATCAACTCTTTGAATAATCAAATCACCAAATGAAGGGGGAAAAGGAAAATAGTAATGTATATTAACTGGTAAAAGTTCACAGAGAAAGACAAAAGTGGAAGTTGACAGTTTTTTGAACCTTACATGAATTCGTCACAGAAAAAAGATGATGGAAGCTGATAACTACCCGAGCAAGTTCTGGCCGAATAGATCCAAATTGGGGCATTGACGTCAATTTATTCGTTTAGGCCTCTTAAGTTTGATATCCATAGTATATCTTTATATATAGTATAGAAATGACACCAGGTAGCCACTCTAACATATTATATTTTAGTATAGAAATTACATCAGGTAGCCACTCTAAGGCCTCATTTGTTTGCACTTAATGCATGTCTGAATCTTAATCATTCAGATCTCAGATATTAAGTGCGTTTGTTTTTAAAGCCTGAATCTTAATTATTCAGATCTTAATCACTAAGTGTGTTTGTTTTTTTTACTTCACAACCACTTAAAGGGTCTGAATAGGTCTGTATGATTAAGATCTATAACAGAGACTTAATTTCATTAAGATGCTATCAGATATTCATTATTAACTGCTGCCACCGCCTACCATTATCAACTACCACCATGCCACCACCACCACCATACTCAATCACCACCACCACGCCACCATCATCCTCAATCATAGCCGCCACAATTACCGACCATCACCACCCACCATCCCCACCACTCCGACCACCATCATTCTCACCCACAACCAACACTCATCCACCTCAACTGCCACAACTAACCACCCCATCACCATCAACAACCACATCCGGCACTGCCCCGTCATTTTAACGTACCACCACCCACCCACCCACGTTCCTCAATCACAACTACTACCACCACCCGCCATTATTGACTATCACCACTCACCACTACCACCGTCAATCATAATCGCCACCACTACCAATCACTACTAGCTACTAGCATTAACCACCATCATCAACCAAAACTACCACCAACCACCGCCTCTAGTCAGCATTCACCCGTTAGCCACACCACCAACAACTATCATATTTTAAAAAATATATATATATATTATTAATAGAATATTAGATTAGTTAGTGTTTCATTTGAATTTTATGTTTATTAATTTTCAAATAAAGATAAATTTTATACATTCAGATGTTAAAAATCAAACAGTCTTAATTATTTAGTATTCAGATCTTAATACATATCTTAATATATTCAGATGTGTATTCATATGTTTTAATCTTAATACACATCTTGATATTCAGATGTGTATTCAGATTCAGATGTCTTAATTTAAAAAAAAACAAATGAGGCGTAAGGGTTGCTATTTAAAAATTAGTCAGTATGTCCTGAATTTCAGATTTTCAATTTAATTTTTTTAGGTCCAGAATTGATTAGAAGCTAAGATTTTTTGTTTAAAATTTCGGACAAAATAAATACTGACTATTCTTTAAATAGCATTCCTAAGAATGGCTATCTGTATACATGCCCCGATACAAAGCTTTGTGATAGCACCCAATTTTTTCGATTCGGCGGTTCAATCTCAATAGTGCTTTTCGAGGCTCACCTGAATAAGTAAGGCTCTGTTCGTCTGGGCGACGATGGGGATAAAGAGTAAGGATTAAAGTCCCCTTAGCTCTGTCAGGCACTGGACAGAGGTTAGCTCTGTAAATGTGTAGAGCCAAGTGTAGTGGTAAAGCTCTGTAAATGTATAGAGCCAAGTGTAGTGGTAAAAATAGCATGGGCTAGCCAGTTTTCGCGCTGGTCATTCAAAAATAGCCAACGTTTGCAAAGTCATTGAAAAATAGCCACTATTTTGCTGCAACAGGGACTGGTCCAGCATAATATACTGGAGATCAGTACACCTGTGTATGAACTTCAAATATATTATGCTGGAACTCCAACACGCGGAAAGTTCCAGCATAATATACTGGAGAATGGAGCACCTGTGTATGAACTTCCAGCATATTATGCTGGACCGGTATATTATATTGGAACTCTGGTATACTTATGCTAGAACTCCATTATAATATGCTGGAGTTCCAGTATACTTATGCTGGAACTCCAGTATATTATGCTGGAACTCCAGTATATTATGCTGGAGTATTTTTCGGATTTTGAACAGTGTTTTCATTCAGATTTATCTTTACATGAAAAGTGGTTAAATTTCGATTACTTTTAAAATTGTGGCTATTTTTGAATGACCACTTGTAAATCTGAATATTTTTTAATTTCTCCCCACGTGGTGTAATAGTAGGCACTTCTAGGCCCATTAGGAGCATTTGCATTTATATCCAATTTTATTCTATGTCCAATCTCTACTTTTTAGGCTCAATTTAGGAATAAGACACTTTTTACCAAAGGCGATTTTATACTTAAGCTCAAACTCGAAACTTGTGATTAAGAATGGAAGAGTGCTTATCAAATCATCGCAGCCTTTATTGTTAAGATCGAACTTCTAGTTTTAGTTTCGGACCTCCATCCCAAAAAGAATAATGCAATTTGGAGCCTAACGGTCAACATGTTTAATATTTCAATGTTACTTTATTGGATTTCTAAATTTATGCATGTTTTAAAAATTATATTAAAAAAGTACTTCAAAATGCTACGTCTAGTTTTTCAATTAATGAAGTCTTAAAAAGCGTAGTTTAATGCTGGAGCGGAGGTGGAGTGCGAGATGCGGGTTCGGCCGAACCCAATATCTTTTGTTCAAATCATGTATTTGTTTTAAGAATTCATTGAATATATACAATTTTTTAATTTAGAACTCAGTAACTTAAAAAGATTACAATTCCGAACCCATAAGCTTCCAATTCTGACCCCGCCTCTGGTTTAATGCATCTATAATGTTGTCACTTAAGGAGTTTGTGGTTGCTCTTTCCTTAACTAGAGGTCTCGGATTCGAGCCCTGGTTATGAAAAATTCTTTGGTACGAAGCGCTC